TGAATTAAGATATGGTCTTTAACTATGATTACATATTCCTCCTCGACGTACAGATGGCCCACTGGCAGCCATTTAAGCTTTTTATCTTCACTATTCACTGAGTGGCCTAAGCATTTACTGCAAAGCATCAAAACCCTGCAGTGAATATAAAATTACTAATTTCCTCATGGATTTTTCTATGGTGCTCTCACCATATTACTTTGGTGCTTTACAAACATTAATTAATTGACTTTTGATCCACTTCTGTGAGGTGAGGCGGTATTATTATCCCCATTTTATAGATGAGGAAGTGAGGCACAAAACTGTCAGTCAATCTGAGATGCCTAAAGCCTGATTTTTCAAAAGTTTACAGCACTTTGTATGTTCCAAGCACAGCTCCCATTGACTTCAGCTACAGCCGAGGGTGCTCCGTACTTCTGCAAATCAAACCCAAGTGTCTGAAGTCGGGCGCCCACAAAATAAGGAACATAGAATTAGTGACCATCTGTGAAAAGTCTGGTTTGTGACATGCCCAGAATCCCACAGGAACTCTGCGGAAGAGGCAAGGATAGAATTCATTTGTCCAGAATAGCATGCAACTGTCTTAACCCTGAAATGCTTCATTCTCTCCCTGCAGTCTCCTGCCTCATTCACTATACACCTTCAACTTCTACAACAAATGAGGCAGGGGTCCTACAAACAACCTCCTTTACTATACATCCAATTCATTCCCAAAGCACTGTCCATCCTTGGACTGCATGACATAGGGGCTCTGTGGGAAAAATAGTATGCAAAAATTTAATTAAAGACTGTATCATAATGCATACGCACTAGAGTGCTGAATTAAGGTTGCACAGGCAATTATCTTCTGAGTCCTTGATGTTGAAACCTTCATGTTCTTTTAACATAGTTTTTGAATATAATATTAAAATATAGATCGCATGCTGCATCGGAATCCCTGGCTGAGTTTACAGAATTCCTCTTTCTGCAATGGCACTGGAGTCACTGTTCTCAGTGACTTCAACGTCCATATTTTTACTAGGTTAACTCAAGATATCATGGCTGCCATAGAATCATATAGAATCACAGGACTGGAAGGGACCGCGAGGGGTCATCTAATCCAGCCCTCATGGTAGAACTAAGTATTAGCTAAACCAACCCTGACAGGTGATTGTCTAACCTGCTTTTAAAAACCTCAAATGACAGAGATTCCACAACCTTCCTACGCAATTTATTCCAGTGCTCAACTACGCTGACAGTTAGAAAGTTTTTCCTAATGGCCAACCTAAACCACCCTTGCTGCAATTTAAGCCCATTGTTTCTTGTCCTATCCTCAGAGGTTAACAAGAACAATTTTTCACCCTCCTCCTTGTAACAACCTTTTATGTACTTGAAAACTATTATGTCCCCTCTCAGTCTTCTCTTCTCCAGACTAAACAAACCCAATTTTTTCAGCCTTCTCTCTCACAGATCATGTTTTCTAGACATTTAATCATTTTTGTTGCTCTTCTCTGGACTTTCTCCAATTTGTCCACATCTTTCCTGAAATGTGGTGCCCAGAACTGGACACAACACTCTAGTTGAGGCTGTATCAGCATGGAGTAGAGCAGAAGAATTACTTCTCGTGTCTTGCTTACAACACTCCTGCTAATACATAGCAGAATTATGTTTGCTTTTTTTTCTTTTTTTTTTTTTTGCGCAACAGTGTTACACTGTTGACTCATATTTAGCTTGTGATCTACTATGACCCCCAGATCCCTGTCTGCAGTACTCCTTCCTAGGCAGTCACTTCCCATTTTGTATGTGTACAATTGACTGTTCCTTCCTAAGTGGAGTACTTTGCACTTGTCCTTATTGAATTTTATTCTATTTTCTTCAGACCATTTCTCCAGTTTGTCCAGATCATTTCTGAATTTTAATCCTATCCTCCAAAGCACTTGCAACTCCTCCCAGCTCGGTATCATCTGCAAACTTTAAAGCAGGGGTCTCAAACTTAATTTACCTTAGGGCCAGTGCCAGTCCTCAAATCCTCCCAGCGGGCCAATAAGGTCACTGAAGATGGTGTTCAGAAAAGAAAACATTTATATTGTATTTTTTATTTCAAATTTCTTCGAAATAATAAAATTGTCATACAATTTTATACAATTCGTCACCTTCCAGAGAGTTTTTAGTGTTTGCCAGACACCTGGCAATGCTTCAGTTCTGTTAGTTTGTTGATGTTTGGCCTCAGTGACTGAGCAGTTGAAACCTTCAGGATTGCAGCAAGGTGTGCATCAGATAGTTGTGATCGGTATTTTGACTTGTTTATATTCATTGTGGAAAAAAGTGAGAGCGCCTCCATGGCTGACTCCGCCCAGCAACTAATGATGCTGCCTCCATGGCTGACTCTGCCTGGCGACTAATGATGGTATCTCTGTCCCTCTCCCCCAGCCAATGGGCACTGCGGGGAGGCAACGCCTGCAGCAGACAGAGCCAGCTGCATGGCTGCATGGGTCTCTCCTCCGCAGGCCGCAGTGGGGAGGTTCTCGGGCCGCAGATGGCCTCTGGGCCGGGACGTTGAGGCTCCTACTTTAAAGTGTACTCTCTGATGAAGATATTGAACAGAACTGGACCCAGAACTGATCCCTGCGAGACCCCACTTAATATGCCCTTCCAGCTTGACTGTGAACCACTTTTTGGGAATAGTTTTCCAACCAGTTATGCACCAACCTTTTAGTAGCTTCATCTAGACTGTATTGTATCTAGGGCCATGAAACTCTTGGAGCTGTCCCAAGTGGTTTTTGGCTCAGCACATATACTTGGCCATGCTCTAGATCTGGTGTTTGGATTGGGAGTGAAGATTACACCTTTTTCATGGACTGAGCATTCCTTTCTACACTTTGGGGTCTGACACACCTTTACGGTTGGGCCAATTAATCTATTTTATCCGTGGAGATAAATGGAACCTGTCAATTTCCAGATGGCTCTGAAGAATTCAAATTACTCTATTAATGGCCTTGTGGAATTGTATCATTTTCTTTTGTCCTCAGCTATTAATTCAGTGACTTCTAAATGTCTTTGTCCGAAGTCTCACTCTCGTAGGCCTCCTGGTTTACAGGCTCCCACTGACAAATGGAACAGGGGACGATAGATGCGGCACTGGTGGCAGAAGTCCACTGCTGAGACTGATTGAAATTTTTTTTTAAAAAGTCTTACGCCATGGGTGTGCAAGACATGGAGGTTACCTAGTCTCCACCATAGTATCTGCAAAGTCTGACTTAGTAAAGCAATTCCAGTTGTCAAGTAGGCAAACTATTCTTGATTCACAGAGTTTAAGACCAGATGGGACCATTAGATCATCTAGTCTGACCTCTTGTACAACACAGGACATTTAAATTTCACCAGCTACCCCTGTATTGAGCCAAATAACTTGTGTCTGACTAAAGCATAATATCTAGACTCTCTCCCATCAGACAGAGTAGAAATTTCCTCACCATGAAGAATGTATGTTATTTTGTTTTCATAGTTACTGAGCACTGTCTTAAGGAAACAAATGCAAAATGTTCTCTGCTTGAGTTTCAGCTCCTATAGCCAACTGTGGTTCTGGAGGTACTGTGACTAATTCCGGATACAACCTGCAAGTTAGGCCCACACACTTTCTGGCTGATGAAGGCCAGCATACTAACTCTCTTTTCTCTATATAGGTAACTTGCTGCTTATATGACCCTTATCACCACAGGATCAAGACTATCAAGCTCCCGTTATCTATCAATATTGACAGTGCTATCACTTATCTACCTATGATCAATCTTCCTCTTCTAGGAAAGAGTTCCTTGTGGCTGGGCAATTCTGGCAGTACCTGATGTCCTCAGATATCTTTCCCCTCAGTTACTTTTCAGGCATGGGCATGGGACAGAAACTGCACTGCTGGGTTTTGAGCAATGTCCACGTCACAATGGATTAGGACAAAGTTCCTATGCTGATTCTTTCCCATTTGCCTTTCATGCTGTTGAACATTAGGTATTATTTGCACGGGGGTCAGTGGAGTCATTTTAATGGTTCCTTTTCTTTCTTTGAAAAGATCCCAGAGATTGGGATGACTGATCTTCTACCCTGTGGGCTTTCTCCTATGGGGTTCTGCAGCATCCTATCTTCTCGGCCTTCCTGTTCACAGCGTACGGGGCCGGACAATAAGGAGGATTATTGAGTTAATGTGGCTGCAGTGTCCTCAATATGCTTACATCACCCAGCTCTAAAATGCCCAAACCCAGCATTTGGTTCCAAATATGTTTAAGAGGACCTGGTCCTCATCTTTAGTATAGTGTCCCAAGAGATGCTGTGAAAGCCCACCAACTGAGATATTTACAATGATAAAACAGAGAGAGTACTAGAAAAACAGATGGAGACAAACAAGTCTGACTATGGACTAGATTAACCCTATGCATCTTTCCTATCTCTAACCTTCATGATTTGTTAAAGAAACAGAGGAAGGATGAGGAGCGACAGAGGAGGTGGAGAAGGAAATAGGAGCTGCATGAATCAAGCCCATCTCCTGAAATGACTCAGAGAATTAGATGCCCATCTCCCATTGACTTTCACTGCGATTTGGGTGCCTAACTCACCTAGGCCCTTTTGAAAATTCAGGCCCCTCCATTATCATTGAACAACTGGCGTGTATTTTAGGCATTTTTGAAAGTGAACATCTTGACTTTTTAATGAGGCAATTTGAAAATATGCCCAGACCTCACCACTGTCAAGTTCATTCCTCCAGGGACTCTTCACAGTGCTCTGGCAACCCTAACCCATTCTCACCACCATCTCTGCTTGGGACCCCATACCTGCCAGCCCAGAGAATAAGATTCCTAAGGTAACCCAGATCTTCCAAAGAAAGTGTCAGAACAAGACATAGTTATCTCTTTTATTTCCAGCTGTCAGAGGGAACACTGTGTCCTTTAACTGTAAACCCAGCACCATGGGGATCAGAACAAGGTGTTAGGGGAAGCACCCATTTTTCAACAGCTTGAGTCCCCATTCCTGCTCACCTGTCAGTTGCAGTCTTCATCTCCAGGAAGTGACGGCGGAAGGTCACCACCTGTCGCCACAGGCTGAGAAGTCGATCATGTTCACACCTCAAGTACCCGTCAAAGAACTAAATGTGCAGAGACAAAAGCAAATAGCAGCTCAGCCACATGGTGCTGGTCCCCTGCACACCACTCACACCATATGAGGTGCCCTTTTCTCCCAGCAGGGAGAGAGTCACCACCTCAGACACAAAGAACTTCTTTGACAGCAGTCCCAGCAGAAAGGCCAAGGACGTACTCTGAGCATCCTTCCTAGGGTCACCACCTGAGCGCAACTAATAACAGGCCCAAACCTCAGCCATCATGGTGATTAACAAAATAGTCACTTAACAATCCTGTCTCACCCTGCAGAGATGTCCAAGAGCCAGTCTTGAGGGACGATGATGAATATATGCTGGCTAGCATATATATTTATATAATATTAATAATATGTATTATCCACACCATATAGATATATTTTAGTATGCCTGAAGCACCAATATTGTAACAGTGATATAGCCGAAACTGGACTATTCCATAAACCCGGTCACTTGTGCTAAGCATTCCCATAACTCCTTGCATTTGCTGAAGTAAACATTTTGCACGAAACTTGTCAAAATCAAGATACATTCATTCTATGTCTTAGTATAAGCTAGGCGTTAGGGGGCCTTTCCTTCACCCCCTCCACTGGTTCCTGTCATGCAGACAGAAAGCAGAAGTCCGAAGTGCAGGCAATGCTATGTTTATTGGGGTTAGTTTCAAGCAAGCATATCCATAGCTCTACACGCCGGCAGAGTCTGTTTCCCAGTGCTCCGTTCCCAGCTCTGATGCTGCACAGGGACCTGTGTCCCCTTTCCCAGTTCCTTTCTCTTAAAGTGGTCTGTTAACTCTCCTTCTGACTCCAAATCCTGTAGTGCCAAATTATCTTTAACCACCCCAACTCTAATTTAAAATCCTCCAGTTGCCTTTGCTGGAGTAGCACCAAACTCGAAAGATTACTGGCAGCCTTCCATAATGCTTCCTTTACTTCAAACCTCTTACAAGTGGACTTAAGTGCCTCCTTTCCTTGGAAGGCATCCTGTCCCCATGGGCATGGACCTCATTCCGCTACCCATTTACCAAAGAGTGTGGGCTTCTCAGCAACCCCCCATCCCCTAACACAAAGGAAGTACTTTCATGGATCAGTACTTGGAATGCTAGTATCCAAAACAAAGATAAGGAAGGAACAGAACAACAAATTAGGGAACTGAGACAAATTGACGGAATGGATTTTAGTGACGTGTAAAGAGATGTGTAGTTGTAAAATCATATAATATCAGCTGAAATGTGTAACTTGGGGAGCACACCCTCTGCATAAGGTGAATGTAACATCGCTGCATGGGATTGCTCTTTGGAGACTGGTATTGTGAAGAACCTTTTTTCTGTACCATTTTAATAAACCTGAGTGACATTGGCCTCAAGTATATTTTATAACAAAATAATGAACCAAAGTGTGGTCAAGCAACTGACTACATAATTTATCAACAGAACAGAAACAGGGGTGAGGCACACTGGCAGGAGGGAAACCTGTGATGCTGCTGCCAGGGCTCTACCAGTTCTGGAGATACACAGTCCTCCAGTCTATAAACTGCTGATCCAGCATCTTGTCCGAGTGTAAATGCAAAACTAACTCCAACAAGGCAATAACCCAGTGTAACTGGACTCAGTGTTCAGCACAGATGGGGGGCACTGGGAGCTGAGCCCTAAGTCCCAGCATTCACAATGATCTCGCTAATATTTGCCCCCACCAGCAGCACAGCCTTGCCTCATCAACACCTTCCACCAATACAATCTGATCCCCTCCACTCTGCTAGCCAACATCAATCCATACCCAAAACTGCAAAAACTTCCACAAATGGTCCTGGTTGGAGGAAGAGAGAATCTCACTGTTTCTCTCTCCTCCGTCTTGCATCTTGCTCGCTGCTCCCCACCCCAACCCTACCTCACGTTCAGTGCGCCATTCGCTCTCCTTGAGCTCCAGTTCGTCCCGGGCCCTTGTCCAATCAACTGTCAGTTTTTGCACATCCTCTCTAAGGGCTGTATTCACCTCATTTGCCTTGCCCAGGTGCTCCCGGAGCAGGGTGTTCACTTCAGCTAGATTCTCACATCTGGGGAGGGGAGAGAACAGTGATGAGCACACCCAGTAAATAGCACCAGAGTTGCGACTATGAAATCACCTGGGGATCTGAAAGTAACATCCCTGGGGCTACACTCTTGGATTCCACCACCACCATGCGGCTGGATTCCCTGAGTCATGACTTTCTCTCCAGGCTGAGAGGTGGGATGACCTCCCTCCAAGATCTCCTGAGCCCCCTGTCATTGCTGACTCCTCGCTCCTTGCCCCACACATCCAGTCCTTTGCCACATTATGCCCTCACTTTCCCATCTGCAAAATTCATCCTTTCCTCTCTACCCCCTCTGCCAAGATACAAATCCACACTCTCCATTTCTTGTCTCAGTGACTGCAGCCTTCTCCTCTCCAGCTTGCACGACTCCCCTCTCTCCACATTTGAGTTTATTCTGTCTTCCTGCTCTCTCCATCTCTCCCGCCACCCTTGTATCTCTGCAGTGGCTTCTGCACTTCTGCATGAAGTTCGAGTTTCTTTGCCCATGCAAAGCTTTCTAATACTCTGCCCCTGCCAACATTCCTGCCCTCTTCCTAGAACCACTACTATCCTGGGGCTCCAAACCAGGATGAGGACTGCAGTCAACAACTCAACCCCTCTGACACATGGAATTATTCAACACAAGGGTCAAGAACACAGGGACAGAGCTTTCTTGGAGGTCAGTTTAAAATTGTGGAATGAACTCCCATAGGCTCCAAAAACCAACACAGGCCTCATCCCTTTCCACTCCAAGTATCAGGCACACTTCTCCCACTTTCCCTCACTGAGAACACGCACAGCACAACACATAAATAGGAGGCCTTTTAAAATCCAAACACAACATTTTCCCTGGGGGGAGGAGGGAAAGGAAAGAAAAGAAGAGAGTGTAATAGAGGCTAGTCACACTGCCAAATGCACTACTAGAAGGCACCCAGACAACGCAGTGTTGGACACAGCATAGGAACCTGAACAGAACAGAAACCACATCGATTCCATGAAGCACTCAAGATAACAGGCTTGATTTTCAGTCTGAAGTTGTGACCTGTTATTCATTTCGCATTGTCCACCACCATGTCACACTATGCTGTTCACACTTATGGCACCACACAATGCAGTCATAATACTTCTCCTTTCAGGGTTCTCTGCCCAGTTGCCCCGCCAGGTTGAGCAAGCAGCACTGCTAGGATTATCCCATCTCTCCACACATCATTCTGGGATATCCAGAAAACCCAGAATAATACGGTTTTTCCTCTCACCTCTGCTGCTCCTCCTCCAACTGGACCAGTGCCCTCTCCAGGCTGTGCTCCTCCTTGGCTTCCCACCTGTGTGAAAGGGGCCCCTTAGAGAGAGAGAGAGAGAGAGGACTTAATCAAACTATCTCAGCCCTTTGTGTTCCTCCTTCTCCCCAGTTAAACATCCATTCCTCTCCCCTATGCTCTCTCAACACCACAGATTTTGTGACTGCTACCTTGGCACAATAATGCAATGACTGAACAGAATGGGACACAGTCTGCGTGTGGCTCCACGTTCCTTACAGTTCCTGTTTCTTTGTGCAGTACACAACCAACTAGCCTGTTCCAGAATCGGAGCACTGCAGCGGCAGATGGTGCTGTTGGTGAGGAATGCTCACTTAGGCCTTGGCTACACTGGCGCTGTACAGCGCTGCAACTTGCTGCGCTCAGGGGTGTGAACCCCCCCATCCCCCCGAGCGCAGCAAAGTGCCAGTGTAATCAGAGCCTGCAGCGCTGCACACTACTCCCCTCGGAGAGGTGGAGTACATACAGCGCTGCGAGAGCTCTCTTGCAGCGCTGGCGGCGCGACTACACTCGTGCTTCACAGCGCTGTCGCGGCAGCGCTGTGAAGTCCCGAGTGTAGCCAAGGCCTTAGGCTTGGGCCCAGGAATGTGCATTCTCTGGTTCTTTCCCTCTTTGCCTTCTAATTCTGCTCTCCATTAAACAGGAGAAGTAACCAAAGTGAGCCACATGTTGAACACCTAAATGTCATACCCCTCAAAAGCCCTATGTTGTGACCAATTCCTATTCAGAGACAGCAGAGCTAGATCAGTCAGCTCAGCCCACACCAGGCTGTGGGGGGAGGGACCCAAAACAACATTATACAACCATGTCTAACCTAACTGTTAACACTCTGCTTGTTAGGATTTTTGGAAATGGTACCTTAAGAAGCTACTCTGGTGGCGGAGATGGAACAAGACAGTGGAAGGAGAGAGAGACAGTGTCTTTTAAACTTCAGTGTCAATAGAAACATATTTCCCTCTGTTTTTGCTTTTTGACTCTTATAACAACATTAACTCGCTCTGTATCTACTGTCCTCAGTGAGCTACCTGCACAACCCTTTCTGTTTCCAGCCTCTGTTGCAGCTCCCGACACCAACTCCGGTACTGCAGCACCTGGACAAGAAGGGAGAGTCAGTATGAGCCACTGATGCATGCAAGAGTACCGGCACTTCATGCCCTCACCTATTCTAACAAATCCCTGCCTACCTAAGACTCTATGGCTATGCACAGTAGATTTCACAGTAATGTTAACATAATCAGCAAGAAATTGTTAACCACTTGGAAGAGTCTCAATTAGCTCACCATAATGAAAGAATAACTCTTAGGCCTGGTCTACACTGGGGGGCATGGGGGAGGGATCAATCTAAGTTACGCAACTTCAGCTATGTGAATAACATAACTGAAGTCAACGTACTTAGATTTACTTACCGTGGTGTCTTCACTGCGGTAAGTCGACGGCTGACGCTCTCCCGTCGACTCCGCCTGTGCTTCTCGCCCTGGTGGAGTACCGGAGTCCATGGGAGAGCGCTCGATGGTCGATTTATCGCGTCTAGACTAGACGCGATAAATTGACACACACACACACCCCGCTGGATCGATCGCTGCCCGACGATCCAGTGGGTAATGTAGACAAGCCCATAGAATCGTAGGACTGCAAGTAGGGTTGCCAACTTTCTAATCACACAAAACCAAAAGCCCTAGCCCCACCCCTTCTCCAAAGCTCCACCCCCTATCCCATTCCCTTCCCAAGGCTCTGCCCCCTGCTCACTATATTCCCCCTCCCTCCGTGGCTCACTCTCCCCCACCCTCACTCACTTTCACTGGGCTGGGGAATGGGTTTGGGGTGCGGGCTCCGGGGTGGGGCCAGAAATGAAGGGTTCAGGGTGCAGAAGAGGGCTCTGGGCTGGGGGTGAGGGCTCCGTTTGGGGTTGCAGGCTCTGGGGTGGGGCTGGGGATGAGCAGTTCAGGATGCAGGAGGGGGTTGCGGGTTGAGGCAGGGGGTTGGGGTGCAGCGGGGGGTGAGGGCTCTGTCGGGGGCTGTGGGGTGGTGCTGGGGATGAGGGATTTGGGGTGCAGGAGGGGGCTCCGGGCTGAGGCAGGGTGTTGGGGCTTGGGGTTGGGGCACGAGCTTACCTCCAGCAGCTCCCGGTCAGCAGCACAGCTGGGGGGCTCTAAGGCAGGCTCCCTCCCTGTCCTGACTCCCCACTGCGCCCCGGAAACAGCCAGCAGGTCCGGCTCCTAGGCGGAGGCATGGCAGGCGGTTCTGCGTACTGCTCTCGCCCGCAGGCACTACCCCCACAGTTCCCATTGGCCACAGTTCCCAGCCAATGGGAATGCAGAGCTGCTGCTCAGGGCAGGGGCATGCACACAGAGCCATGTGGCTCCCCCGCATAGGAGCCAGACTTGCTGGCCGCTTCCGGGGCGCAGCACGGAGCCAGGACAGGTAGGGATAGTCTGCCTTAGACCCACAGCACCGCTGACCTGACTTTTAACGGCCCAGGGTCCCTTTTCGACCAGGTTTTCCGGTCAAAAACCGGACACCTGGTCACCCTAACTGGAAGGGACCTCGAGAGGTAATCTAGTCCAGTCCCCTGCATTCACGGCAGGACTAAGTATTATCTAGACCATCCCTGAAAGGTGTTTGTCTAATCTGCCCTTAAAAATCTCCAATGATGGAGATTCCACAACTTCCCTGGGCAATTTATTCCAGTGCTTAACCACCCTGACAGGAAGTTTTTCCTAATGTCCAGTGTAAACCACCCTTGCTGCAATTTAAGCCCATTGCTTCTTGTCCTGTCCTCAGAGGTTAACAAGAACCCTTCTGCTGTACTCCTTCGTAGGCAGTCATCTCCCATTTTGTATGTGTGCAATTGACTGTTCTTCCTTCCAAGTGGAGTACTTTGCATTTGTCCTCATTGAATTTCATCCTATTTTCTTCAGACCATTTCTTCAGTTTGTCCAGATCATTTCGAATTTTAATCCTATCCTCCCTCTCAAATTGGTATCATCTGCAAACTTTATAAGTGTACTCTCTATGCCATTATCTAAATCACTGATGAAGATATTGAGCAGAAATGGACCCAGAATTGATTCCTGCAGGACACCACTCGGTATGCCCTTCCAGCTTGACTGTGAACCACTGATAACTAAGGCTGCATGTCTCTCACGGAGGTCACGGATTCCATGACTTTCCGTGACCTCCGTGACTTTTGCAGCAGCCGGTGTGCCTGGCTGAGGGGCTGCCCGAACACTTAGGCAGCAGCAGGGCCAGCAGCAGTTTGGGTGTGGGAGGGGGCTCAGGGCTGAGGCAGGGGGTTGGGGTGTAGGACGGCGCTCACCTGGTGGGGAGGCTCCCCGGAAGTGCCCGGCATAACCCTGCAACTCCTGACCTAGGCGGAGGGACCAGGGAGCCCTTGCTTGCTTGCAGGCACCCCCTCCGTTCCCATTGGCTGCGGTTCCTGGCCAATCGGAGCTGCAGAACCGGAGCTCAGTGGGGGCAGCATGCGGAGCCCCCCGGCCTTCCCTCCCTCTAGGAGCTGCAGGGACATGCAGAGCCAGGTAAGGAGCCTACTAGCCCCGCCAACCCTTCTCCCCACCCGGGCCTCCATCCCAGCACCAGCCAGGGTCCTAGGCCATGTACCACTGCCCGCCCCAGTGCCAGCAGGGATCCCGGACAGCACACAACCTCCTGCTTCTCTGCCCCCCAGCGCCAGCGGGGGTCCCGGGCTGCGCACTGCCACCCAGCCCTCCCAGCACCAGCAGGGGTCCCAGGCCACCCCGCCCAGCACCCGCGGTGGCCCCCAGACTGCCCCCGCCCCCAGAGCACCCAGGAGACCCGGCCCATGTTTTAGTTATGGGTAAATAGTACAAGTCATGGCCAGGTCATGGGCCGTGAATTTTTGTTTATAGCCCGTGACCTGTCCATTACTATTACTAAAAATACCCATGACTAAAACGTAGCCTTACTGATAACTACTCTCTGGGAACAGTTATGCATACTCTTTTCCAACCAGTTATGCATCCACCTTATAGTAGCTCCATCTTAGGTTGTATTTTCCTAGTTTGTTTATGAGAAGGTCATGCGAGACAGTATCAAAAGCCTTACTAAAGTGAAGATATATCACATCTACCGCTCCCTCTATCCACAAGACTTGTTCCCCTCTCAAAGAAAACTATTAGGTTGGTTTAACATGATTTGTTCTTGACAAATCTATGCTGATTGTTATTTATCACATTATCTTCTAGGTGTTTTCAAATTGATTGCTTAATTATTTGCTCCATTATCTTTCCAGGCACTGAAGATGGGCTCCATTCTCAGACACATTCAGCTCACCGAAAAGCAATGGTGGGATTGAGGAGAGCGAGAGAGAACTGGATAGCAGGGAAATAATGCCCACATACCTACCAAACTACAGTCAACTCAGCTGATAGCTAACAAACCATCCCAAAACCTAGAAAAAACCACTGAGCACAAAACTCCTATGAAATCCCAGCAATATTATATACAAGAATTAAACTCCAAAAAGTATACAAAGCAAACCTACAGATCCCCGCTACAGCAAACTTAATACAACACACTAAATTATAATTAACAGCATGAGTGATACCAGTCACCTACATGGAGCTAACAATAGAGAAGTAAACCAATCTAGCCACACAACCAGAAAAAGTACACACCATAGAGAGAGAAAAAGGGGAGAAGAGAGCAACAGAAAAGGTTATAAATATAATATTCTGATATATTTCAAAATATTATTGAAAGGGTTAAGAAAGCAATCTTAAAAACCACAGAGACCCCTGAGCAGCAACCTGCACGATTCTGAAGGAACAACAAACATTTCTATGTGGAAGGGAAGTTGTCAAAATTTGATGAGGCAATAGACAGAAACCCTCCTGGACTATGTGGAGGAAACGTACTTCTCACCTATTTTTTATTATTAGTGTCATTATTTGTTCTCCAATAAATGCCCATAATGTGCTAGCTGCTATCCAAGCATACAGGACATCATTCTTCAAAATCTGCGCTGAAGAGTTCACAATCTAAATTCTTCAATTTCTGGGGTATTAATCAGTGGGAGTGGTGCCTGTAAACAATGTCCATCTTTAACCTTCCCCCTAGTAGCTTCCTCTCGGGTATTCATTTCAATAGCATCAGTTGTTTTCATATCTGCACCTTAAGAACATACCTTTTTCATATCTGCAGCCCACAAAACAAGGTAGCAGCAATGAGGGTATTAAAATGTTCACAGATTATATTCTCATTTGGAGTGCCCCAGAACAAGAACTCATGTCAGGCTTGTACAAGTTCTGCAAATTGCTAGAGACAATGGACTGAAACTGAATAAAGCAAAATGCCAATTACAGAAAAAAGAACTGTTGAATTTGGAGGAATTTCTCTCAGAAAATTGGGTTGCCAGATCCTGCAAAAATACATGTTATCCAGAGGAAGCTCAACTACAGAAGATCACATCAAAGTAGACAATCTTAAAACATACAGCTATTTTTGTTATATCAGATATCCCTAAAATAGAGAGGGCGGACAGTGGCCTCAGTTTGTTAGTAAAGATTTTAAGACCTTCACACCAGATTATGGAATTGAACATTTTACCTCCAGTCCTAAATATCCACCGAGTAATGGACTGGCAGAATGGGGAGTTAAAATTGTTAAGTTGCTAAAAAAGACTAGAAATGCAATGGACCCACTTATTGCCTTTTTTAACTACATGGCAACACTGTATGCTCCACTGCTGGCTCCATTTCCCCTTCCTTGTTACCCACACCACTCTACAGCTCCCCGCAGCTCTACCTACTCCTTTCCCCATCTCCACCCCAACCTCCCCTCCACTCTCCAACACCACCACCTACCCACACTCACAGTCCTCTTTGCCCTGCTGCACCCAATCCCTACGATAGGTGCTGTCCTATCCTCCATAATGACAGATTTTGTGGAAGCCACCCTCAAACTCTTCAGAATTCATGAGCAGGCTGCAGAGGCTTTCAAGCAAACATCAGGGCTGCCAGCACAAAAGATTCTGGGGCTCTTATTTTCCCTGCTCCTCTTTCCCTCTAGGTTGCTTCATACTTCCCTTTCCTTCTTAGTGATTTTGTTTTCATTTCTTCCCCCTTTGTCCCTTTTCTGCCATGTTTGCCCTTCTCTACCCTACCTTTTTGCCTCTCCTTTTTTTTGGCCTCTCCACGTGTAAAAAGGCTGCAGAAGGAAATTAGCTGTCAGTTATAGTTATGCTCCTCACTCCTGATCCACAACACCCCTTTCTCTTCCACTCCTGGTCTTCCCACATCTCGGCCAATGTCTTTCACTCCTGATCACTGCCTCCCTGTTTGGATGCTCATGGATGTACTTTTGCTTTACCTTTGCTTGTAGCTTCTGCACAAGCACTGCCTGTCTATGTTGCGCCTCTTGGGAGCTCTGCAGCTTGCGTTGATAGGATGCCTGACTTTCCACCATTTGTTGACGAAGTGTCACTATCTGCTCCTCGGGCAGTAACTGCAATGTCTGCAGTTTCATGCTGCTCACCTCCTGGTCTCCTGCCTCCATCTGAGGATCAAAGAATGGTATAATGGTAATACAGGAAGAGGATAATGGCCCTGCAGTAAGTCAGACGCCTAGGCTGTTGTCAGAAGCAGGGAAGAGGATGAAGAAGACTGAAACTAATCAGATCTGCCTGCCCATTGGATCTGGCTGTGACTCTAGCAAGACATCCATAGTATCCAATCAGGAGGCTCCTGCACTGGAATAAGCTGAACAGAGCAAGCTACAGTGTCTGGTCTAGTCTGTGTGAAGAAGTACGTCTATACTTACCTCCGGGTCCGGCGGTAAGCAATCGATCTTCTGGGATCGATCCCGGAAGTGCTCGCCGTCGACGCCGGTACTCCTGCTCCGCGAGAGGAGTACGCGGAGTCGATGGGGGAGCCTGCCTGCCGCGGTAAGTTCGAACTAAGATACTTCGACTTCAGCTACGTTATTCACGTAGCTGAAGTTGCGTATCTTAGTTCGAAGTGGGGGGTTAGTGTGGACCAGGAGGCAACCCTACAGGCGGCAGCGCAAGGTGCAGCCTTCTCACAGCCACTGCCAAATGTCCGGCAGCAAACTCCAGTCCTGAGAGCAGCTCCCAGACATACCACCACCTCCTTGCTAGGTCCATGCAAGTGAGGGACCGAAAGAGCCGGATCGAAGTGGGCGTGGGCAGGCTTGGACAGCGCATCTCCCGCTTCTGTCACCCACCTGGCTCCTTGGTGCATCTTCTGCCTCTGTCGACCCCCTGGCTCGTCTCCTGCCAATGTCACACACACCCCAGCACGTTTCCGGCCACTGTCAACCCCTCAGTGCATCTCCGGCCACTGTCACACATACCCCCCCGGCACGTCTCCGGCCACTGTCACCCTCGCCCCCGGCACATCTCCCGCCTCTGTCCCCCTGATGCATCTCCCGCCACTGTCACCCTCCTGACCCACCGGTGTAGCCCCACCCCGCCACTGTCACACACACATCCCCAGCACGTCTCCAGACACTCACACACCCCGCCACCCCGGGGCATCTCCGGCCACTGTCACACACCCCGGCTCCCCCGGCACGTCTCCAGCCACTGTCAACCCCCCGGCGCATCTCCCGCCTCTGTCACCCACCTGGCCCACCATTGCAGCCCCACCCCACCACTGTCACACACACAGCACGTCTCCAGACACTGTCACACACCCCCGCCGCCCCGGGGCATCTCCAGCCACTGTAAACCCCCGCGTGTCTCCAGCCACTGTCACACACACACACACACACCCCAGTGCGTCTCCTGCCACTGTCACACACCCCGGCCGCCCCGGCGCGTCTCCGGCCACTGTCACTCACCTCGCGCCCCGGCGCGTCTCCCGCCTCTTTCACCCAGCCGGCCCCACAGCGCCGCTCCCGAGTCCCGCCACTGGCCGCTCTGCGCCCCGGGGCCGGCTCGGGGAGTCCCCAGGAGCGTCGGGCCGCGCGCTCAGGGCCGCCCTCGCCCGCTCCGGCTCAAGGGGGCTCGGCCTGGAGCTCCGCGCTCTCCCCCGCCCGCCACCTCGGCCTGCTCCTCGCGGGCCCCTCCCGGCGCCCCCGGGCCGGCCGGACCCACCCTTCGGCCCGAGCGAACGGCCCCCGCCGAGCCGCCCCGGCCCCGGCGTGCAGGCGATGCACTCCAGCGTTGGGAGCCCGCTCGGCGCGGCTGGCAGCGGCCTGCGCGCGGCCGCGGCCTGGGAGCGCGTGTCCGGCTTCCCCAGCGGGGGCTGCCTGGGCCCGTCCCGGAACTCCCGGGGTTGCCCAGGCCGGGCACGTTGCTGGGCACCTGGCGCTGCCGCTCTTTTCCCGGGCCCTAGGCGCATTGCTGGCCCTGGCTGTGATGTGACCAAGGTGCAGCTGCGCCAGTCGGGCCACATGGCTGTGTCTACACTGCAGTCAAACACCTGCAGCTGGGCTGGGCCAGCTGCTTGGGGCTGTAACATCGCAGTGTAGAGATTTGGGCTCTGGCTGCAGCTCGATCTCTGCGCCCTGCTGCGATGCTGGTAGACGAGGTGCCAGCGCTTGCCCAGGGTGCAGGCATCAGCTCAGCCCTGACAGATTCATAGCTGGAAACCAGACCAGCTCACGTGTATGTTAGCCTTGTTCAAGCTGGGTGCTCCGTTTGTAAAGACCTGTTTACGCTCTATAAAATGCTTGCAAGTTGGTGCATGAAAACCATACTTGTAATGTTTGTGCCCCCTGCTAAAAGGTAATATGTAAGTTTTGCTTGATGATGATAAAAGATGCCTGCTCTGAACTTGTGAACGTGGCCAGGAGGAGTGGTTCTCCCACCCATCAAGAAGGACAATCAAAACTGGGCCCTTGTAGAACATCACAATACAAACACTTAGTTAAGGGCCCTCTGTCACGGACTCACAGGTCGTGCCCACTCTTGGCCCCGTACAGTCCCTGGGGGGACCCCCTTCAGTGTGACAGCCCTTCTCCAGCATCCACTCTCTCTTGGGGGTTAAGCCCCTCTGCCTTCTGGTACTGCACCTCTCTGAGCCTTTAGCATGCCTGTCTCTGGCCGGGGGCCCCCTCAGGGAGTCCACTCATTCTGGACCCACAAGGCCTCCACGCCAAGAGGAAATAATGCAACCCTGTTCTCTAGACCGGAGCGACTCCCAGACAGCGTAAAACAGGAGGGTTTATCGAGCATCTGAACACAGCACAAGAAACTCTCAGGGCCCTCAGACCTGGCCTCCCTCAGCACAGTACATCTAAGTCTCCCCTGCATCCAGGTGGGCTCTGCCTGCTTTCTCTCTCTCCAGTCCAGAGACCCCGTGCTTTCCAGCTGGGCATCCAATATCACCTGCCCCAAAGCCCTGCCTCTGTCCTTTGTCTTCTGTCCAGGTAAACGGTCGCCTGGGCCTCCTCTCCTCTCAGCCGTCTTTTGTTCACCACTGGCTGGAAAGGTCACTGGGGTCCTCTCTCCACAGCCCATTGGTCTCCCGCTGGCCAGAACTGGCTGTGGCATCCGAGCTGGGCCTCCTGGTCACCAGGTCACCAGTTCCTGGGGTATCCATTTTCCAGGCCATTGGCCAGGATCCCAAGTTCCGTTGCTAGTCCTCTGTAACAACAAACTCCCTCTCCTATCACCTCGTTAAACCAGTAACACCCAGGGAAACTGAGTTCCACCCCCTGTGCATGCAAACCATTGGAAAAAAAAACAAGAAAATTCCCCACTTTATAACATCCTCTCACACCCATGAAGGTACTATGTGTAAGAAAATTTGTCCCACAAGCCTGAATTCTGGAAGAAGGAAATAAAGATAGCTGACATGAAAATTTTTCATCTTTGCTGTTTGAACTCTCACAGGGCTGGAGCTAGAAAACAAAAACAAAGCTCCCCAGGGTCAACCTGGGTTAGCCATAGAAGACATTCAGTGCTGACAGATTACTACAACTCTGCCACCTTTTGGAACTATATGTAGTAGGATTTTATGTTTGTATTTTATATAATTTACGATGAAGGATAAAGAATAATAATGTAGCATGTATTAAATGTATTGGTGTATGATTTGATCATATCCTGCCAGACACCCTTTTTGAATAGCAGAAAGGAACGGCCTAATGGGCCATTGGTAGAGATGCCTCAGCCAGAATTTGTGTCTGGACTGATTTCAAGGCAGTAACAGACCTTTGAAGGTCACCAATTTGTTGTAGGTTTAGCATTTTAAAATAAGTAAAAGAATGCCATGATCGTTTTCTTTTGCATTGCAACTTGATGTTTCTGTTCAAAATGTTCTGTGTAAATTAATTCTGTTTTGTATGTGAATGAGGAATGTGTGTTTAGAGATAAGTGTGAAGGCCATCGCTGAACCAGATGTATGAGGGAGGAACTGGAGACAGATGTAAGGCTGCAACACGCCCCATTGAAATGTCAGAGGAGAGCAGATTGACGACTCTAAATATGGGACAGGCACCTATCAATGGGGACATGATAGTGGTGATCAAAACCAGCATGGGATGACTCCCTGAGGAACTTGATGAAAGAACAAGATAAAGGATGAGGAGGACAATTTAAGAAAACAAGCACTCGTCAAACAACAATTGATTACAGTATGATGGTGCAGAACTCATTGGTCCCAGTGAAGGAAAATCACTATATAAACAGGGTGCCTTGCCATGAAACTTTGGGTTCGTCCTGCCAAGACTTCCCCGGAGCATCGTGTCACGACCGACGGAACCCGGCTCCTCCCTACCCGTGATCAAGCTAGCTGGCCACTAGATTGACCCAGACTCTGGACTGGTAACGATAACATCGACTGGCAGGACTGTGTGTGTGTGCATGTGGTGTGATTGAATGCATATGCTAATTGTTGTATCTTCAATAAATGCAGAGTATTGCCTTTTCCCCTGAAAAAGATCCCATGTGCTTCTTATAAGCATAACATTTTTGGTGGAGAATTGCAAAAGGGGGAAGACATGCACTGTGATTGTTGAAAATACTGCTAAATATTGCTAAAAGGTATTCCATCCATATAAAGTGATTGATCAATCAGGTGTGCACACCCCTGGTCTAGAGGTGCCGGGCCATAAGGGGGAGGATTAGAGTCCTCGCTCCGACCCGTCTGTCAGGGAAAACTATATAGATAAGGTATGTACACCCCTGGTCGTAGAGATGCCGGGCCATAAGGGGGAGGATTAGAGTCCTCGCTCCTCCCATCTGTTGGGGAAAAATTGCATAGGTGAATATACCCTCGGTCATAGCAGGATCAAGCCCAAAAGGTAGGGGGCTTAGCGTTTCCCCCTCCTGCTCTGTCAGGCAGAGTTTTTAGTGAGTATAGACTTTTGTGTTGTGTAAGTCCCAGCACGAGCGTGGGCACAGAAGAGTTATAAAGGTAAAAGATTTATAACGAAATATGTTTAGGGGAAAGGAGTCCCCTAAGGACAAAGCTCAAGAAGAGCAGACAAAATTGCCATTCATACAGGAAATTACTCCTTTTAAGACAATTTTGCAAAAGTTTGGGCACAGCCCATGGACTGAACAAGCATTAGCCGATGTCCATACTATGGCTAATTTGGAAGATAGACTGGCAAAATATCTGTTGGTCTACAGGCCATCGACCCCGATAAAAAGAAACTCGGCTGCAATCTGGCTATTGTGGGAAGCATGCAATGAGGCATTCCTCCGCTTGGGTAGCTGCCAGGAGGAGAACGCCGCACTGCATGAGAAACTCAGTGTATTTGAACCAGAAACTGATAAATTGAAAATACTGGCCACTAGGGTCCAAAGCCAGTTAGACATTCTCAAAGATACCCTAAGAGAAGTTAAAATAAAAGAGAGGGGATTATCTGAACAAATAGAGGGAAAAGATAAAATACAAACATAAAATCCTACTACTACACATAGGCTAACTCATTTGTGTATATGTGTTGCCTGCTTTAACCTGTAAATAATTCTCATTTCTTTTTCCCAGTTAATAAATCCTTAGTTAGTTTACTATAGGATTGGCTACAAGCACTGTCTTTGGTGTGAGATCAGAGGTACAAATTAACCTGGAGTAAGTGACGGATCTCTCGGGACTGGAAGCAACCTGAACGTTTTTGTCATTGTTGGTGCTTCAGTAGTTCATATTCATTACTGGGTTGGTGAAATCTAATTATACATAAGGTTAAGATTTTGTCACGGGTATTTTTAGTAAGAGTCATGGACAGGTCATGGGTAATAAAGAAAAATTAACGGAAGCCCATGACCTGTCCTTGACTTTTACTAAAAATACCCATGACAAAATGGGGAGCTCAGCTCCAGAGTCCTCCATGGCGGCCAGGAGCTCCAGGGTCCCCCAGCCTCCATGGGCTGAAGTCATAGAAGTCACTGGAAAACACAAATTCCGTGACCTCTGTGAAAAAATTGTAGCCTTAATTATAGAACATAAAACCAAGTTTGGGGTTTATACCCTCCTTTTTGACAGCATGCCCTGAGGTCGGCACTCAGTTGTGAACCACTCCAGGCAGTATGACACCTATGAAGTAGGGAGGTCCCAGAGCCTGGGCTTCAGCCTGAGCCCAAACATGCCACAATGGACACGTACGAAGTAGAGAGGTCCCAGAGCCTGGGCTCCAGCCTGAGCCCAAACATGCTGTGACAGGTTCAATCACAGAAACCCCCTTGGGACTGTCACCTGATGTGCTGAGGCTACCTCTGAGCCCGTTTTCTCTGCCAGTTTGGGCCTTCAGAACCCTGCTTTGTTGAGCCAGATAAGCTAATCTGCTGCAATACAGACCCAGTGGCCTCTACTGGCTTCTTAACTTTTTCAGGCTGACTTTCCATCCTGAATTTCCCTGGGGTACAACTTGGAACTGTGGGATCACTGTGCCCCCATAACTCTCCAGCCTGGATTGTCTCTCACAATGCTTTGCTACTGACAAGCAGCAAACCCCTACGGGCACTGTTATCACTCAGCCACCAGCATGCAGAGACACACCCAGCTAAGTTGCATAAATGCTCTCCAAGCCACTCATGAACTACACAGAGGGAGACATCAGCAAATCCCCTCCAGCTCCCAGCCTTGCACCCCAGAAATCTTACACTGTTCAAGACCTTCCCTTGAACAATGCAAACTC